ATCCTGCTTGTGGGATCCCCTAGGCAGCTACTTTGCCCCTATGTGAACAAACTACTGGAGCAGATGGACCATTATTCGGATCCAGCATGGCTCATTGCGTACTCCTTGCATAATGCACTAAGTAGCATCAGCCTTCCTTATGCTGGCCTAGGGACTGATGCTGAACAGGTTTTGCTGCTTCCCTTCTCATCTGTATCCCAGGTATTGGTCCCCTCCAGGCTGCAAGACGTTGGTGTTCAGCCCCAAGTTCCAACCTTATCTGGCCATGGTGCAGCACGCCGCAGAGCGGCAGGACAGACCGTGCAGTTCTATTGTCCAGCATTTCATTGCTGCTTCCAACCTTCACTGCCCATGGCAACTGCCTCACTTTGTTGAGACTTGCAGCAGTAGCCCCAGGTCTTTCACCATCCCATTCTTTACTCTGTCTTTCATCACTTAGCCTGTCATCATTGTTGTAAACAGGGCAGGGACAGCTTCTCTGCTCCAGGAGAAGGTGCATGGGCAGAAACTTCCTCACCCCCTACCTCCTGTGCTTGTCAAAGCTGAAGAGCTTTTAGTTAGTAGTAAATATTGGTCAGAGCCAGCTTTGCTAAGAAGCTAATTGGAATCAGACTATCTGCCTTGCCTCCTGCGACATTAATCTTCTTGCTTAACAGCAGGTCATGATGTTCAATTAACTGAAGTACTTTTAGTGTGTTCACCAGATGAGAAATATAACTAAATCGCTATTGTACATAAAAGACAACCAAATAGTGAGGCAGGTTAATCACCTCTGCTGAGACATTGACTAGGAAGAATGAAAGAAAAGGTGATGGAACAAGTAGTTTCATTTGTACACGTCTATCAGGTTCATCATGACCTGATTACTGTTTATGAAATGGTAACTTAGAGGGTTTTTCAAAACATTTATTTCATTAGTCACAGCTTAAACCAATATAACATTCATTAGTCACAGATGTCAGTAGCTATTAACAAGTTCCCAATGGCATTTCCTTGTTAATATCTGTTACATTTATTTCTCATGCATTTTAATTATACATCAGGAACAGCACAAAGTATTATAATCGAAGAAAGCTGAAACTTCAATGGCAAAGGGGCTTTTCTTAGGGATTTCATTTCAGCCTACTGAAACTTCACAAAGAGATACCTCTTTCACACTGCAAAGGTAATATTACATAAAAATCAAGGCAATGTTTTGCAATGAATTTGCACATGTATGTGTGTGTGTGTATAAATATGTTTTCACCTTAGACACCAGACATTTGCAATATAAATACATCCTGTGTATAAACCTTATGCAAAAACCCACTTGCTTGTTTCAGCAGGAGAATAAAAGTCTGAACAAAATCCAATCTACTATCATTGGCTTGCTTGCTCCTCCTCCCACTACATCATCATCATCCCCTAGGGGCCATAGGATTGCTCTCTGCATTTGATTTTTAAAAAAACAGACAAAACAGTCACCCCACCCTGCAAAAAGTAACGATATCTACCTTTCAGGTGTGTCCAATAATTTTGGTGCCCATGCAATAATCACATAGGTACAGAAACCTGTTTTGAAAAATAAAAATCTGCCACTCCTTCTCTCCCGCTACACACACACATGGCCCACAGTCCACAAGAAGTGCCACAAGCCAGGAGCTCAGCAGCACAACTCCTACTACTCTGCCCCAACAAAACCTCCTCAGCCAGAGCGCTGAGAAAAGACAACAGGGGCATGGCCAGTTCCTGCTCCACACCCAGAATTAAGTCTGTCTAACACAAAGTCTGAGCACTGACTTGAACTGCCATTCTCCCCCATTTTTTCTGTCCTGGTCTGAGGGAGGAGCAAGGTAGGACCATATATCAGATCCAGGCACTTTGGAATTGGCAGGCATCCTGTTTCAGGTTTGGTCCTGTCCCAAGCACTGTTCCTCTATAGTTTACAGTCAGATCTGAACCGAAGGGCCTGGAACGCAATGCATTTGTGGAAAGCTCAGGTACTATGAGCTATTCTATGGAATAGCAGAATACTGTAAGCTTACTTCTGGCAGGTGTCTCAGAGATAAGCAGCAGGATCTGAAGCACTCCTGTCCAGCTCCTAGTTTTTGACCTTGAATGACAGGTCTGCAGGTAAGAAGATGAAGAGCTTCTCCCTGAGAAGCTAGCAGATAGACGAAGCAGATTTTTAGAAATGTCACCCAGTTTACAGAGGGTGGAATAGAAACACTCTGTTCAGCAAAGTGCTAGTTGTTGGGCTAAAATCACATCAGCTGGATAACCAGAAGGCCTATTTCACCCGTACTCATGTTTCTGAGGAAGGTTGTGCTAGAAGCATTTTCATTTTTCACTGCCCAAACCCCTCTCTGTCTGTATTGTCTGAGCCGCTCAAAGCACTCTTCACATGCATTGTTCATCTAATTCAGAACTGTGCCTTTTTGAACCTTGGATTATTAAAAAGACCTACTACCACAGGGGTGGCCAACCCAGGTTTAGGAGCCAGGTACAGCTCTTTGTATTTATTTTGCACCTTGCCACTTGCTGCTCGGGCATCCACTTTCTGCTCACCACCTCCTGCCGCTGCCAGGGGGCACCCACTGTCAGCTCTCAAACATCTGATCTTTACTGCATGTGGCTCTTCTGTTGAGCAAGTCTGGCTACCCCTGTACTATGGAATATGATACTGGAAATAATGTCTACATTGCCTGAACTATTTTCCTGTTTAACTTTTCATTAGTACCTAGGATCACCATGATACTGGAGAATTCAGCTTCCCTGGGACTTGGCATATTAAAGAAGCCAAGAGGAAATACCTCTACAGCCCAGAGATGCCACCAGCTTTGTGTTATTTTGAAGACTGTACTTAAATTTGCCTGGAAATATGGGCTGGAATTCCCTGAGAGGGAATGTCTCTATAACCCAAGACCCTCATTATTTTTCTATAACCATTGAGGGACTTTTGAACACAATCTGGCTTGACTCTTGTCCAGTGGAGATTCCAATATAATCTCTGTTGTTGGACAGATCTTGGTCTGTATGTATATGTATGCTGGGCATGACTTGCTCTTAAACCATGTCTTTGATTGTCTGGCATGGTTTTTAGCAAGAAATTATTAGTCAAAACAATCCAAAGGCCTGAAACAGTCCTTGATCTTGCTTTTATTCTGTACTGTTGTTACATTGATCTCTGACGCTGGCATAGATAAAAGGACTTTGGACCACTGTTTTGAACTAATCCTTGGACCTATTCCTGTTCGTGCAGTTGATAAATTGATGAAGAATTTATATGTTATGAGTTTATCATGACATTTGCTACAAGTAAAAGTCTCATTGCTGCCAGAATGACTGAAGAATTGAGCCTTCAGTACCTGCTCTGCCACAAGGTGCCTCCCTCGCCTCTCCGTGCTTGTACTGTCTGTCTGAAGGCAGAGGAGCACTAACTGAGACTGGAAGAGCTGAGGGGCACAAAGCCAGCACGCACTAGGACTGCAGAATTGAGAGTTAAAAAGCTGTGGTTTGTGTGGGTGGCTGCAGCCTGGGAGTTTCATGAGAATGCAGAATTCTCAAAAGAAATTGGAAGAGCTGACTTTAGAGGAGGAGGATACTCATGGTGGCAGTAGTACTACCATCTTTGGTTTGGTTTTTGGTCTGGCTGATGGGATGGGAGTTTGATCTGGAGGGAGGGAGGGAGATGCAAGGCAGGTGAGCACTAGTAAGGCTCTACCCTCTTTGCCCCAAATGACAGTCTATCCCTGAATTTAAGTATGGGATGGTGTATGCCAGGCAAACAGCAACAATCCAGCAAGGAATAAGGTACACTGAAGGAATCCAAGAACATGGTAGATAGGTCAGTGGATACTCAGTGTGGAGCAGTAGTGAAAAAGAAAAGGAGGACAACCATTGCATGATGTTAGCTTATATTGGGAAAATAACTGGAGAGCAATAAATGATGTGTGGCATATTGCAAAACGAACATAAGAAAACTGTAGTAGCCTGCTGCACCAGCCTTGGCTTTACCGATGGATTAGTCCCCTTTATCTAAATATGAGGAGTTGATACAGGAATTCGGATATGTGTGGATCAACATTCTTTACTGAAATTTATGGAGTTCATTACATAGGCCGGAGAACTGCTTCTATATGCAGCTACTGTTCATCTGACTTAGTACGGTGCTGAACATCCTGTTGCTTCTTACAAAACTGCTGTTCTCAAAGTTGCCCAGAGCTTGTAATTGGCTATCAATGGGCTGATATGGGTGATCCTTGAAAAATATTAATAAATCCAGTCCAGGTCATTTTGCATTTAATTCATTTGGACAGGCCATTTCTGAGTAACAGAGGTAGAAATGGGCCATATTGGCTTTTTAAGGTATCATCTAAACCAGTCCATTAAAACAGAGCAAAAGAAGTCTGGGCACTCAGATGATTATCAATTACGATCTAGCTTGTTCATATTGAAATATTTTATGGTTCCACTTTAATCTGAAATATTGAAGCCATTGCAATTCCCTCCCCCCTCCCCCATTCTGAGATTAATGTATCAGAATTGCAAGGAAGAAAAATTCATCTTGAAAGTCCATATAATCTACTATTACAGAGCCAGAATATTGGTCAATTGACCTTTTTCATTTCCTAGTTAGATTCATAAAGTCTTTCTGGCTATGACTTTGCCTGCATATGCAAAATTATAAATTGATGTTAAACAGCAGTATACCACTCCAGCCCGTAGACATGCAAAATAATTGGGCACACAGCTCATTTGTTGATATTTGAACTCTGAAGTCTCAAATCACATTTTAAGGATAAAACTGCAAGTAATTTTGTATTGCAATCTATAAAACAAAACAACATAATGGCAAGAAAAGCTGTCACTGGAACAGTCTATCTTTGTAGAAGGTTAGTAAGTATTAAGCAGAGCTAAGCCCTGATTAAGTATCTAATTGGCTTCAGTAGTAATGGCAAAGGAAGCCAAATGCTGTTAGCTGTGAGACATCAGAGGTTTCAGAACATCTTTGAGTGAAAATGTTTAATACACTAAAAGCAAAATTCACCAAAGTTCTGCCAAGTCCAGCAGAGGAAAAAGTAAGCGATGTTCCAGCCCCTCAAAAACCATCTCCTCAGCCTCCTCCAGTGCAGGTAAGTTCTCATGCTTCATTCTATTTGCAAACACTGTATTTGTTTCTAAAATGACTAATAAGAAATGTCACATTATCTTAAAATATAATTTCTGCTCAATGATAATTAATTGTTAGCAATTTTGTGATTCCTTCTTGCAAAATATCATCTTCTGAGAACTTTCAAAGGTATGCAAAGCCCCAAAGTAACTTCAACTACAGAATGTCATACAATTCCAAATAAAATATACATTTACTCAGAAGTAAAGCTGCAACTAGACATGAAGGTGGTGCAACCCAGCTTGCCTTGGTCCAGAACACCATAAAACACAACATGGGGGGAGAGGGGAAACCTTCCAACAATCCACACACCCCCACATTCCTTCCCAGCTATTTCTCTTCCTAAACAAGGAACTTCCATTCACAAAGCCCCAGAAAAAAAACAGATACTACCCATCTGAAAACCAAGCCTGTGGTTTGCCAAAGTGAATTCTAGCTTAGCTTTAAAACAAAGTTCAATCAAGGATGCCCTTAGAAGAGCTTTAATGAACTTTCATGAGAACTGTGTGGCCATGGTCCTTTTCCTCCTTCTTTTTAATTGGCATTTGATTATGTCCTTTCCAGTTCCAAGTTCTTCTATGTCTTTAAGAGCTGCATAAATGAGAAGATTTCCCCTCTTGTGACACCCCTCACAATAGTGCAACTGTCATTATAACCAAATTCTTTCAGCTTGCAAAACTCTGTGCAATTATTCAAATCCATTCAAACTTTAGCAGTTGGTGCTGGAAATAGGTTCAGTCTGGCTGAGTTTCAAATGGCTGAAATATATCTGAGCCTAACTTATGCATGAGTTGGCCTGATTGCTGGGTAACCTGCACACCTGGATCCTATCAGCACCAGGAAGCATGGATCTGTACCACATATGTCCAAATGGATTGCTGAATCCATTTATTGTCAAAGCTGCATGTAGGTGGAGCACATGGAAGCTATTAACAGCAGGCCAGCCCAATACTTTCTTCTGTCTGAAACAGAGCAGCAGTGACTCTTCCTTGTCACCCCAAGGTCAAGGTGCAAAATACCAAAAGCCAGCCAAGTTATTTTAGTACACGAAGCAGAAAATCCTATAAGTACCTCTCTCTATCCCTGGCAGTAGAAATAGAATAATAAAGTAAATAATAAGTCACAATTTGCTGCCCTTTTATATGGCACCCAAAATCTACTGCCTAAAGCAACTGCCAAGGAGGGGCCAGCTCTGTTGTTTGCTAGTGCCACCCTGGCGTGATAATGCTTTTATTTTCTCTTAAAAGTCCAGAAGCCTCTCAGGTACTCACTCCTGACAGGAGTATTTGATGGAGCTATACTATAAGTGTTTCTGTAAATGTGTCCCTTATTATTATACATTACTATTTGATTAATGTAAGGAATTATTCAGCTGAGTAATATTAAGTTATACTTAAAGCTCAGGACAGAAAAGTGTGATATTTTGTGTCCTTTAAAATATATTCCATGACACTCAATAATGTTTGGTAGGATTGTTTAAATCTGCATGAACTTTACGAGACCAATAAAACAGCTTGATTAACCACACCACCAGGATGTGGCTAAAAAAATTGCAGTTACCAATTCATCTTAATTGCTTTTTTGTGAGCAAAGGAAACTCTGCTTCTGTTGGTTACAGAGATTTAATTAAGGCTGTGATCCCAAGGACACTTTATGAGGAGGGTAATTTCCTCTGAAAATAATGGAGCTTACTTCCAAACATGTGCTTACAATCAAGATGTAAATGTATGTAAAAGATGTTGTGTTATGAAGGGAACTGCTTTCCTCTCACAGACATACCCAAAGAAATGGAACAACTATGATGTAGGAGACCTGCAGGTTTCTAGATAGACCCCACACCACCACCACCACTTTAAAGAACAAGTGGAGAGCACCATTTTGATCAGGTCAGTGGGACTGGGCAGGCAAGTTTTAAAATTTCCTCCATGCTGTTTTCATGGTCTAACCTGCCCCATCCCAAAAGCTGCTACTAGTCTTGCTGGAAGAGACAGGAGACTATACTGTGCCTGTCTTCTTTCTGATAACAACTGGAGTAGGGCGAGAGTGATTATTTAGATCACAAAAGGCCACCAGGGAAAAGTTAAACCTCTCCTTTCCCCAGTGCTGCTTTGGTAAACGAATTAAGAGCCCTTTGCCATCTCTGCTTGACAGAGAGCCCTGTTGGAAGATCCCAGACTTTGGCCCTCAAACAAAACAGAGCATTTGTATGCCCTTCTTAGACAACCTGTTACAGGCAAGAAGACAGAGGTGCCCAGCTTTGCTGGATCAGTGGGCACATTTAGAATTTAGCAAAACGTTCATGAGTGTGCTCACAAAATGGCTGCCATGTGAGGGTTTCTCATTCATTAAGTGGCTGGGCATGGCTAGTCACAAAACATTCCTATCCCAGAAGGCAAACTGATGACACTTTTAAGAGAGTTACTTGCCCCCAAACCTGATACAAAGCAGTGGTGAGATCTGAAGCCTGAAACACAAAAGCACTCTTGGACCCAAAGAATGGACTGGAGGAAAGTATTTTGCTTTCTAATATGAATTCTACCCTCCCAGTAAATTTAGAAAAAACAAATCTCAGAAGTAAAATAAAATTCATGATTACCAATAGGGTGGGAATGAGCCCCATTGGAATCTGTCCCTTCAGGCATTCCTGTGCTTCCTCTTGTGCTCACCCTGGTCTTGCAAACAACTGAGTTGAAAGGAAGCCTGCAAATGCTTGCAGAGCAAAGGATGCGCAACCAGCCTCCATATCAGGTACAGCTGCCCAAACAGCAGTTGCAGATAATGTGGAGGAGGGATGCTGCTTGCTCAGCAGTCATGTGGGGCTCCATTCTTGCCAAGTGCCTTGTGACCAGCCCTGCTCAGCATCAGGTGCAGTCATCCAAGCAGCACCTGAACATGGCATAGGAGATGAGCACTGCTAGCAGTCAGGCAGGGCTCCTTTCCCGGCAAGCCCCTTACAACCAGCCTTGTTTGGTGGCTGCACCTGACAAATGAGAAGGACACTGCTTGTCCAGCACATGGGGCCCAATTCCTGGCAAGTGCCCCATGGACACTGGATGTAATTGCCTGGAGCTTGGACTCAGGGCCACTGTGAAGCAGACTGCAGTCCAGGGAGCTGAACCCAGGGAATCTGATGGATTCCTGCCCCAGATGGATTTCTCACACATCCCAGAGGTACCCTGGTGTACATGAGCACTACATTAAAAACTGGACATTTCCTTCATGTATTAAGAGCAGAATTTATAACAAGGCTTATGACATAAAAATTGGTATCAAAATCATGTTAGAAATTAAAGAACTCTACCTGAAATGAAGCACAGGGGTCACTTTCCACCATGCATTTTACTGGGGACTTTGACTTGGCATCGAAGGTGTGGGGAGAGAAATTGTTTCAGTCTTGAAGGATGCACTGCAGCTGCTTAGTTAAATCTTAGGTGCACAGGATTTGAAAGTAATGAGTAGCTGCACCTGAAATGGAGGCTATGGTATAATCAAGACCTCAGGCTAAGCTAGACCTAGTTTATGTGGGAAGGTTTAGCTAGCTGCTTTAAAAAAGAATTTGATTCATATGTGTCAATGTGTCCTAGATTTAGCTTTCCCTTCATCTTTTCCTCAAAACATCTTGTGAAATACTTGTAGCCTCAGCCTTTTGAATGGCAATTGTTGTTTAACTAAACAGAGCAGAATGGTTGATATTCAAATGAATCAGAGGCAGTTCTGTTCCCTTCCTTTTCTCCACCTTTCCTGCCATTTCCTCCAAGCTGTCTTTCAGTGATGACAAGAGGACTGCAGAGTGTCCCCTTCTGAGAACGCCATAGTTTCTGGTTGCTCTTGCTCCTGAGTCTCTCATTTAGCTGGATAGACAGAAAATAATTAGGTGAGGGCTGTTCCTGTAATCTCATCTACATTCCAGGCAAAACTTCACTGGCATGCCTATTTATTTCCTGGGATGTATTTCCCCTTTCTCCTTGCATGCCTAATACACGGGTTTCTAATACACAACCACATTGTTTATCAACCAGTTTATTAGACTTGTTTTGAAACTAATGAACAGACACAGCTCGGAGTGGGTTTGAATAGCCCCTAGCCTGATCGAGCAAAACCTCCAAGAAAACTTCCACAGCTGTCCAAGTTGAGCACACTGTCCCTACCCTATCTGAGTGAAGTCAAGTCTGCTGGCACCGTAAGTTTGGCCCCTACCATGGTCCACCTCATAGCTCCATGAGGAAGAGATCCGCCCGTCCTGCCCAAACGACCCCAAAGCAGTGGAGGGAAGAAGTGCCTATAGCACTTCTGCCCTCTGCCCTTGGTCTACTAATCTCCCCTGGCTTCAAACAGTATGGACCATAAAGCTACGCACTGCTAGGGGAAGTCTCTCTTTGTGAGTGAGGTTTAATGCTGTGGCCTTAAGCAATACAGAAGTAATTAACTTGAAATGTGTTTTGGCGAATGCACATACTTACATGTGTGTGCTCACTCTTGTCTCTTGCTCTGTGTGTGTGTGAGAGAAAGAGGAAGGGAGGGGGAGAGAGCGCACACTTCCACATCAGGTTTTCATAGCACCATCATTCTGCCACATATAGGTTGCCATCCTATAGTAATGCTTGTAACTTTCTGAACTTAGAGGATTATGGGCACCTTGCGCAGAGCAGGAGGAACACAAAGCCCACCTCCACATTCTGTGCCCCCTGTTCTGCAAACCAACTGGAGAACCAGCTGTGATGCTTCAGAGGAGGAGGAAAAGAGGTTGCGGTGCTGCCAGGATACGGCATTTCTCAGCAGCACCACACTCTCCTGCCCTCCCAGATTACCCATGAAGCCACTCCTCTGAGGCCACTTTTGCAACTTTGAAGAAGCAGCCCATGGCACGCTTTCTGCCCAACTGCAAGTGGGGAAGAGAATCCAAGTGTGGTCAGAGCAATTTTCCAGTCTCACAGTCAGGAATCCACAGAGCTCAGATATCATCATCTTCCACTTATATCCAACATATCCCCATTGCTTATTCTGTCTTTTCTGCTATAGCAAAAAATCTGTTAAAACAATTAGAATTTCTGCACAGCACCTTCCAGTTGGAAGCATTAGTCATGCTCCATATGTAAGCACTAATATAGAACAAAATAGTTTTAAAATGTTATAAAATTGTACATTTAGTCATATATAAGCTATTATATTAGAATGTTGCTTTTCTGTACCTAAAAATAATTATCTGCATGCACATTTTAAATACCTCTGCTGTTCCTCTCAAGGACGAAAAAAAGGAAGAAAAGGAAGAATGTAAGAACACAAGTGGCACACTGAAAAAAGAGTCAGAAAATACAGCACAGCCAGACCCTCAGCAACAAGGTCAGTAATGTATATGTTGAGGCAATCTACACAGTGCATTGACTAACAAAAAGGTCTTTCAGAGGCATGCAGAGTTTGCCATAAAAATCTACTTGGCCTGCACTAGATTCAGTTCTGTCACCATTATTGGCCTCATTCTCATAAACAACAGATATGGTGGTAAACCTGCATCTGTCAAGAACATGTCTCTTCCCTTTTGCCTTTCAGACAGATCAAGGCAAATGGCATGTAACTGCTCAAGAGCGTTTTTTTTAATACAGAGTGAGCAATATAAAAGTCATTAAATAGAAGCATCCATTGTGTTGATGATCTCTCTTTCCATCCAAACAAAGCTGGCTCCACCCTTAGGGAGGTTCATGCTGCCAGATGTGTGCCAGATGGCAGGAATGCTGGACATTGCTTAATTGGTCCATTTATTTATTTATTTATTTAGAATTTTTGTATGCCGTCCCATCGCTTATAGTCTCGGGACGGCTCACATAAAATAAACAAACATAATACATAGTAATACAATTAAAAACCCAGAATCACCCTGGCTGCAAAATTAAAACCTATAGATATTATTAAGAGTTGTTAAAAAACTTGATGATGATGTACCACTTGATATTTGACTTGATGTTGTACCACTTCTCTGAGAAAATCATACCTCTCTTTCACTACCTCGACATCCGTGTACCACAATGTCTCCCCCTGATTCAGGGTGGCTGGCTCCCAGTAGCCACTTAGCTAAATTCAAAACTCATTAACTGCTAATTCAGATCCCAACAGTTTATACTTGAGCCTTGGATTTTTTTGCCCCAATACATTGTTTTACACTTGCTTACACTGAACAGCATTTGCTACTTTGATGCCCATTCCTCCAGTTTGGAAAGATTCAGTTTAATTCACTTTTGACTTCAGCAGTTCTTTAGTGGCTTAAGTTCCATTCTGGAGCCTCATGATCATAAAAATATAAGAAGGGTTATACTGGATCAGACCAATGGTCCATCTAGTCCAGGATTCCATTCAAACAGTGGCCAAAAAGCTGCCCATTGGATCTCACAAGCAGGATAGGAGTGCACAGCACCACCCTACCCAAGTTCCCCAGCAACCAGTGTGCATAGGTGTACTGCCTTTGCTACTGAAGGTAGCATATGGACCTTGGTCTGATCCAGCATGGCTCTTCTGATCTTCTTATGTTCTTAAGGTAAGGCAAAGTTGGAAAAGATGGCAAAAATCCCTCCATCTTTCCACGTGGAAATCCCAGATGAGCAGAGCACTCCAACACTGGAGCTTAGTATGTAAAGAATATCAATCCTTTGCAAATATGTTCTTGAAGAATTAATTGAAGAGCCAAATCTGTGTTCTAGTAGAGTTTAATATTACCAAATGGAATGTATTTAAATGCTGGGCTGGACTGTGTGCCTGAGTGGAGGTCATGTGAGGAGTGGCAAGTGGCAGTGGTCTAAACAACCATCGCATTTCATTATACTCAGCCCAGCCTTGAAGCTACAAAATGATTTAGCATCACTGCCTGCCACCAATCAAAAATGCCCAGCACTGAAATTCCCAATAGTATCATGACTTCAAAGAAGCTTTGCATAGCTGCATATCATCTTTGACATGTGACACCATAGATAATGGGCTAGCACCTCCCCTTTTTCTGACACAACATATTAATAGTATACTAAAAGAAAATGCCATAAACTCACTCAAGCCATTCATTTTGCTGTGGCTTCTCTTGCACATAAAATGCTTTTATAAATAAGCAATCCATTATGAGGCAAAATCTGAAATTAACTAAGTGTAGCAGCTGGTGATCAATTCTATAATGAATCCTGGCCTATTTTATCCCTTTTCAACAGCAGTATGTCACAGGTTTTGCCAATCAAATGATATGTTGTCCTAAAAGCTTTTTTCCTTTGAATGCTGATTTAGTTTCTTGAGGTATTTTAGGGCTTCTCTACAGAGGCTTTTATGGTACGCTCATGATCACTCACTCACAGAAATTTGTGAGGCCTTTTCCTAATATCATCCTCCAGGGCCTCTCCCATTTTTTCCAGACATTTTTGTAACATTTTTTAGGGAGAGGAAAGCCTGGTATTAAAATTCAGACTCAAAGAAATGAGAACAAAAGCCTCACGAAAAGTCACAAACTTGCTATAACACAGAGCCCTCTTGCAGTTGATTAATAGCATATATAATGCCAGGGTTTGGACATTTTTTCCTCCTGCAATGAAAATGGGGAAAAAGGCTTCAGGAAAGCAGTGGAATAAATCCCTTAGAGAAGCCATTAATGTTAGATCCCATATCAATGAAAAACTCTATTGAGATATGTAAATACAAACACACAAATACCATGGATGTGTTTTTATGTAATTTATATTTTCTCCAGGTATTAGAAATGCTATGGATTTTAATCTGATACTAGAAAGGGGATATAAAAGAATTTAAAGCTGCTGCTGAGACATAGCATTCATGGAATAGATGATGGAAAGGCATATAGGGAATGAGCCTATGGTCCCCTAGGCATAGTCTGAGGAGCCAAGGTATGCCTTGATTTTCCAGCTACAATAGCAGAGATGGTGCTCTGGCCTCAAAGATGGCGGCTGGTGGTGTCCTGAGGAGACCTTCTGATTTTGTACAAGGATGCTTGCACCATCTATCACCATGCAATACTTTCCATGCACTATGAAATTGAGAGAGAAATGGCCCTGGCTCTTGCCCTTGAATAGAGGCATTTCTGTAATGGAGGTCTCTCCCCAGAATAGCAGCCAGGATCAGATTCCACAAGCATTGAAAGAGAAGCTTTGAGATCTTATTTTTAAAAAGAAAAAAGACAGCGATAATGTCCTGTGCTGCAAATATTGCAGCTAGGTTTTGTAAGTAGTGATGGGTAAATTTGTCTCAATGAATCAGTTTCTTAGAAAGCAATGAATTCATCCCTGTAATCTTTGATGAGGGTTCTCCTTTAATTTGTGTACATGAGTTTTTGTAAATGCACAATATCAAATTACATCTTAGCAGCTACAGTTTGGAATCATGTAGTGCATCATGAAGTCATTCATCCCCATATTATGCACCCCTTCCTGATTGTTTCCACATGCCCTTTCTATGTCAAGTTTAGTAACAGCAGCTGATCAGTATACCAAATAGAGAGAGATGGGCCAGTATATGGAGTTCTATGCACCCTAGAAGGATGTTTCTTTGAACATGCTTGCTTAGTGTGAAGAATTAAAATAAGTGACATCCAGAGATACATATTCCCCTGCAAGAATAGGCTTAAACCAGTTAACTAAGCATACATTCAGAAATGCTGGCAGATTGCATATACTCTGGAGTTTGTAATCTATTCCAGAATTAACAATGACTTTGCATGACAGTGCTCCAAGCTTGCTGAAGACATGAACATTGCATGCAGCCAGGTTCTGGTCACTGCGCTAATTATGAAATTATGAAATCATAGATTATGGATCCGGTTTTATTTTTGAACACAGCACACCCTGTGAAAAGCAAATGATAGACAGAAAAATAGATGAGCTCCTTGGACAGACTGGGATCCCTCCTCGTAATGGCATTCACTCACAAGTCTGCTGCATGAGATAGCAGGCAAGGTGACTGTGAGAAAACCTGCTTTTAAAGATCTGTGCTGAGGTATGATAGGACCAGGTGGGGGTGGGAAGAAATGATACAAGGGCCAAGCAAACACTGAGGACCATTTCTAGACTGGAGGTGGGGAGAAATATAGAAGATTTAATGTATTTGGAAAAGGACTGCACATTTACCAAGTGGGAGAAACTGCCATCAGTATTTGATAACAGGTGTAATACTGGTGCAGTAAGTAGACAACTCTTGATTCCATGATGCATTTTGGCTCTGGATAGTTGTCAGGAAACATGGCAGTTGTGCAATATGGGGAATAAGCAGTCCAGTGGATAGAAACCTGGCACTTAGCACTTGTCTCTGCTGATTATTTGGATGCACTTAGCTTGCATTTGTATCAATTATGTAATGACCTGTCAGAGACGTGTGAGCCCCATGGCAGGAAAAGAGCCTACTCAGCTCAACAGAAAATAGAAAGTATAGAGTTAAGCAGAAAAATCAAGATATGGGATAGCCAGAATGAGAGAACTGCCGGTGACAATCTGTATGTGTAGCTTTCTGGTGTTCTGAACATGCCGATCAGCATGTGCTCTAGAAATACAGCAGAGAGCCATGGGAAACATTTGCTGCCACCCGCCACCATCACCACCTGCCCCATTCTTCCTGGTTTGTGCTGCAAAGCAAATTGGACACTGTTCATTTGGACAGGTGAGCATCTAAAGAAAGGCTTCTGACACTTGCTTTAAGAAAAGCTGATACAATCTAGGCTACTGATCATCACTGCAGATCATCACCCTGTATTTTTAAAATGTACATCTACTTAAGAGATTTTAAAACTAATCTTTCAAAATACACATGTATCCCTAAAATTTCCAGTTAATAACCTTCCAAATTAACATTAAAAACAATAAGCAAAATGACAGTGACACAAAAAAACAGTGATCAAATTTCAAAATATTCATTATGAAATCTTAAAGCAGACACACAGCAACAGAGAAAAATGCACAAAAAACCTATGAAGCTTGCCTCCTCAATTAGAAAAACTCCATAACAAATATTTTTAGAGACCACCTGAAAGAAGACATGAAGGCAGTTACAGTAATAGTATCTCTCATGAGTTTTTCTTTGTGACCTTCTATGCAACTATTTAAAGTGGTCATAGGGGCCAGTGATTTGTGTTGTTGTGTAATTATTTATCTAGCACCATCATAGTGCATGTCTCAAAATCCTTGTTCCAGGGAGTTTACAATCCAAACATGTAAATGTGTACTTGTTTTACAGATGCATCAAATGCTAGCAAACACATGCTTCAAATACATTTTTATTAATAAAGCAGTTCTTAATCAATCACCATAATTAGTGTGTGTGTTGAATCCTCTATTTCAATTCAAATTAAGTAATTGAAATCAATGGGACAA